TTGAACTCACAATCTTACGCTTGCCAGGCAGACACATTCTACCGAGCTATCTCCCCAGCCAAGATATATTCTTTATCAATTTCATGAGAAAGAGTTAATTCACTCAGCATTTTCTTTCATCCTTATTTTTACCAATTATTTTTCAAACATGAGGAAATTTCTTGTTAGCAACTATTTTCACCAATTCTACCTTTTTCTCCAAGCAGTTTGGGCCACAGTTGGTTTTATTCTGTGTTGATTACTCCCACTAAGTGGAATTTTCCCAAGGGCCAACTTTGCAGTGTTCAGTGTTAACAAACAAAGATGGGATCATTCAGTTTGTTTTTCCATCCATAATAAATTGTACCACATGTAGCCTTAGCCATTGTCAGGTTTATTTTGTGTCTATTATTTCTACTATATTTAAGTTTTTCAGCAACCCATCAAAACAAACTCTGAGTCAAAATGACAGTGTTCAAACACTATGCATTGCCTGGTACTATATAATTACACTGTATTTTGTGATGAATTTTTTTTTTTACCAAAGATATTAATGAGCTTCTTTGTACAATGTCTCCAAAACATCTTTTTTGGAAGCCTTGGCATATGTGTGGGCTTTACCTTAAAAACTGTTTTGCATCACAGGAAAAATAGACAATAGAGATTATGTCAGGAAAATTGATCTTTATCAATGAGTCAGGCACTTTGCTTCTGTCTAAGCTCCATTATCTCATAAAATCTATCAGACTAAAAGACTAAATTGTCCCTACATTTAATAGTTTAATAGCAGAGGAAATTGACACAAAGAAATTGAGAGCAAGAGACTAGTAGAGGCAGGATCAGAACCAAGCTCTGCTTTTATTTTCAGTTAGTGCAATTTGAATGATTACAACTTTTGAAATATAATATTATTTAAACTATTTCCTTGAATTTATAAGCTTTTACAATTATCTTGTTGAAAAATTATATTTTTTTTTAGTTTAGCTAAGAGTTAAAACAGGAGAACTCACACGAAAATAAACAAAGTACTCCCAAAGAGCTTTTTGTGACAGCAGATGAAACAAAAAGTGTGAAAATGTTTTGTAAATGGCCCAACACTGGGCAAATGGAAGCTACTGCCATTTGTGTTGAAGGCTGTCACATAAATCTGCTATGCCAACTTGCCAGAGTGCTACAAAGCAAGTAACACACTATCAACATTTGGTACATGAGTACCAAATGCCCGTAC